GAGTCAGTTTATTGCTTTCAGCTGGTACTTGAACCCGGGTCTCCAGCTCTGGAGCCCTGCCCAGGCTTAATCCCCGGAGCTTTCTCTGCAGCTGTATGACACTCCGCTGACCCTGGATGAGGATAGGAAAAGGCAGGCCGTGCCAAGCCAGCGTCTCTTTTTCATTGGGAGCCTGGCGGGCTGCCCGTGACCAGGGTTACATAATGGGAAACATAGCCGGGACGCTGGAGAGCCCTCTTCCTCGCCAGGCTGCCGGGGCCCTCCCCAGGCTGTAGATCTTCCTAATTGCCCCCCCCTGCCCCCGCCCCGGAGATGGCTGCCTTCCGCTCTCCCCCCCCCTCCCCGCTCTGAACCGGGAGGAGGGCAGGCAGGCGGTGGCACTGCTGGACGCCAGGTGTGGGGCACGAGGGATGCAGGCCCTCCTCCCCGGGCAGCTCTGGGGGGAAGCCCCTCTTTCGGGTGGCAGGCGGGTGAGCCAAAAGGCAGCTGCTCCCCTGCCCCCTCCCCACCGCATCCTTTCAGCGGGGGGGATGGCAAGGGGGGGCTCAAGGTTTCTCTTGGCGCTACGTGTGCTTGCAGAGAGCAGGGAAGACGGCCCTGGCTGCGTCGCCTGCATCCTGCAGAGGACCCAGGGTTCTCTGCTCCAGTCGGTGCCCAAATCTGTCCCAGTTGGAGACATTGGTGGGGGGGGCGCCTTTGCCAGGCCTGGTCTGGCCACGGCAGGGCATGGCTCTCCCCCCCCCTCAGGGCGCCATCAGGCCTGGCAGGTGGGGTGGCTGGCTGGACACGCCTGAAGCTGTCTGGGCATGCCTGGCAGGACCCCCTCCGTTCCCCCCCCCACAAGCTGCCCAGGGTGTCCTGTGGACCTGCAGGCTGCATTCTTCCCCCACTACCACCACCTTTTTCAGTGGGGGGGCCTCAGTGCAGGAGACATTTTATGCCCCCACCCCCCTGTTTTTTGGCCAAGGAAGGGCAAGGAGGCTCTCCAGGCCAAGGGGGAAGCAAGGGGGCCGTAGCCCCTCAGTCCCCACTTCCCAGCCCTCGAAGACCGGGGGGGGGTCTTTGGCAGGAGCCTGGCCCTGGTTCACAAGGCCAGGTGGGTCTCCGGGGAGGAGGAAGCTGCGGGCTCTTGTGCCCGGCTGGGTCTCCTCAGCAGGTCCCCTCAGGGCCAGGGGGGGGCAGGAGTGCACCCCCAGATAGAGGGGTGGGGGGGAAAGTTCACTCTCAGTTTAACCCTGGCGGTTTTGAGGCAAGCGTCTCCCCTCTTCCTCCTCCTCCTCCTCCTCCTCCTCCTCCTCCTCCTCCTCCTCCTCACCGTCCGTCCAAGCCTTCTCGCCCCCTTGGCTGGCGGGCCGGCCATCTTCTTGGGCAGGGGTCCCAGGCCCCTCCGGCTTGGGTGGAGTGTTAGGTTTTGATTTACGGCCGCCGATCCCGCCCCTCTCCCAGGGCCATCGTGAAGCTTGCAAGATGTTTCGTTTCAGCCCGATGCTCCCCCCCCACACACACACACACCCCCTCCCACACGTTTATTCCAGCCAATAAATGAGTGCAGATTCTCCACCTGGAGAAGCTTTTTTTTGGGGGGGGGGCTGGCTGCAAGCCTGTCCCGGAGAAGGTTAGCTCAAAGTCAGCCCCCTTTCCTGCCCCCTCCGCCTTGCAGTGGAAAGACCCCCTCTCCAGTCCCCCAACCCCCCCACCCTCTCACTGGGGCCTGTTGCTCTGCCGTTCTTAGCTGCGCAGCAGCTCCCTGCGCCTGCCCCCAGTGCCCCCCCCCCAGCAATGGGGCAGCCCCGAGTTCAGCCAGCTTGGGCAGGTGGTCCCCACCCCACAAAGGTTCACAGATGTGTTTATTCCTTTCGGGGTCTTCCTCTCCCTTCCTCAGCCTGCCAGCCCCCTTCCCCCACGGGCCCAGGGGTCTGCCAGAGGTGCAGCTGCGGGCAGAGGGCCCCCGAAATGCTCCCTTGCAGCGCTGGAGGGGGGCAGAGGAAGGGGCAGCTCCAATGGCATTTTTCCGCCCCCACCTTCCCATGCCGGTGTTTGGGCCAGGCTCCTTTTGCCCCGGTGGGCTCTCCCTCCCTCTGGGCCTGAGTGCGATTGAAGCCTCCGTCCCTCTCCGTGCTGCCCCTCCCTGATGCCTCTTCTCCCCCCCCCCCCCCCCCCCCCCCCCCCCCCCCCCCCCCCCCCCCCCCCCCCCCCCCCCCCCCCCCCCCCCCGCCCAGGATAGTAGGACGTGCCTTCTCCAGCTGTCCGGAGTGACTCAGAGGCTTCGGCCTCTGCCGTGCTGGAAACCTCTCCCTCCATGTCAGGATGTTTTAGCCTTGCCCCACGTCTGCAGAACTCTCTCGCCTCTCCAAATTTGTTTTCCTTATTTTTCCACAATTCACCATTGGGGACGCTTTTGTAAAGCCAGGAGCAGATAAACAGCACAGAAGAATGCTGGGTTTTTTTTATTTTCCTCACCCAGCCCCTCCCCCTTGGGTCAATGAGGACTAGAAAGTTAGTGCTGGAGTTTGGGCTCGGCACGTCCACGGCCGAAGGGCTCCGGGCAGATAGGGGGCAGCACCGAGAGACAGAGAGAGGTGGGGGGGGTCTTGCTCCCGGCTGCAGCAGGTGGGGGCCGCAGGGCCCACCCACCCACCCACCCCGCAGCAGCAGCTGAGCCCGCTCTCTGCCCCCCTCCCTCCCCCCGCAGGGCCTCGGTGGACGTGTGGGCGACCCTGGCCGGCTTCTGCAACATCCTGACCACGGTGAACCAGTCGGAGGTGCCCCTCTACAAGGACCCCGACGAGGAGGACCTGGCCCAGCTGGGCCTGGAGGAGGACCGGCTGCTCTCGGGCTTCGTCCCGCTGCTGGTCGCCCCCCAGGAGCCCTGCTACGTGGAGAAGGCCTCGGACAAGGTCAGGCCGGGGGCAGGCAGGCCGGGCCCCCCCCTCCCCTCCCCTCCCCTCCCCTCCCCGCTCTGGGCTGCTCTCCTTGGGAAGCGTTTTTGTGCCAACGGAACACGATTAAGTCATTGAGAGAAGGGTGTTAAGGGAAAATGTCGACCTTTTAGCCGCCTGACATCCAGCTCTTGTGTCATGAAACCCCCTCTCCACTTCCTTCTGCTGCTGCTGCGGCTGCTGTGGCTGCTGTGTGTGTGTGTGTGTGTGTGTGTGTGCGAGAGAGAGGGGGGGGAGAAAAGGGGGGGCTCGCTGGCATGCCGCGTCTCCGGTCATTTCCTCCCTTGTTTAGAGAGCGCAGCTTGCCTTGGCAGCCCTCCCCCTCACTCCAAATGGCTTGCATCACGCTCCAGCAGCCTCCTCCTCCTCGCCCCCTCCCCGTCCTTTTCCCCCACCACCACCACCACCACCAGGAGGGGGGGGCTGCAAGGAGGAGGCCAGCGTGGAGCTCTTCAGGGCTGCTTCCTCTGCAGAGCAGCAGACGGACAGGCGGACTGACAGCACCACAGCCGGGTTGGGCAGAGGAGGCTGCTGCCCACCCACCCACCCCACCCACCCGGCCCTCGTGCCCCCTCCTTGCCTCCCCCACTACGCCTCCCAGGTGCCTCTGCTCCAACCGGGCAGCGGGAGCCAGGGTTTGTGTGCAGAGGCTGGCACACCTCGGCTTCCGTGTGGGCAGAGGGTCCGAGGGCAGTGAATTTGAAGGGGGGGCAATGGGGAGAGTGCCCCTTTCCCAACCAACCTGGGCTCACCGCCCTGCCCCTTTCCAAAGCCCGGCCCTGGGCTGGACAAGGGTGCACAGCCTCACTCCCTTCTCACTCCCTTGACCAGCACGGGGAGCTCAGCGCCGCAGCACCTGTGGATCTCCCGCTGGGTCAGGGCGCAGGGGGCTCCAGAGGGGGGAGCAGGGGGAGAGGAAGTGGAGCGAAGCCATAAATCTGGGTCTCTCTTTCCCCCCCCCCAAGTCTGGTCGGGGCTGCTGGAGGGTTCTGGGGGGGCCGTGAAGAAGAGCGAGCGAAGTCCCTGTCGGCCCGCGTAATTGATGTCCGTTGGGGCTGGGGCGCTGCCAGCTTGTCTTGGCCCGGCTCCAGCGTGCTGTAATTTGGGAGCCAGGTGTGAAGCGACGTCTGTTCCGTCTTGTTGTAAGGAGCACCTCCAGAGAGAGAGAGAGAGAGAGAGAAGCCGCCGCTGGGGGGGGGAAGGAGGGAGGGAGGGGGCCCCCGAAGCCTCCAGGAAGGAAGCAGCTGTGCAGGTAGGGGGGGAAGGAAGTCGCTCCTGGCTGGGGATGGGAACCCGCCGCGTCTCTCCTGCACAGGTGTGCTGACGACGCCAGGCGGCCTTCCTGCCAGGGGGCGCCCCAGCAGGGCCAGCACCTGCACAAGGAGGGGGGAGCGTCTCCTGCACTCTGGGGGACAAGGGGGCCCTCCCCAGAGGAGAAGGGGCACGGCCCCCTCGCTCCAGGGAGAGCCCAGGTGCCTGGCTGCCAGGTCAGAGGGGTCCCCGGCTCCGACCAGCCTCTGGTAGAGGGGCCTGTCCCCCTGCAGGCCCCCTCTGGAGGGGGACCCCGCCTGCCCCCTCCCTCCTGCATTAAGGGCCTGTCCTGGAGGAGGAGGAGGGGGGGCTCGCTTGCTCTTTGGGGCCGGCCCTGCAGATCCACGCAGGCTTTGGTGGAAGCGATCCATGTGGCCCCACTCCGGGCAGGCAAGAAGGGGTCTGGCGTGGGGAGAGCGAACGATGTGGGGAGGAAAGGGCAGCCCACCTCCGGCTTCTGCAGGGACCCTTGCAGTGCTTGCATAGACCCCCAGCCCCTCTGCTGCCCACCCCCCTTAATCTAGCACTGGGTGTCTCCGCTCGTCTCCTGAACGCAAGCGGGAAAAATCCTTAGCTAACCAGACCAAGCTCTGGATTTGGACCGACAAAGGCCCACCCCTCGGTTCTCCCTCCCTCCCCCCCCCCAGAAGTCTTCAGCTGTGATCCCCAAAGGAGGAGGACCTCAGGCGGAAAGGGCTGCCTCCTCNGGCCCCCCCCCCCTCCCCTCCCCTCCCCTCCCCGCTCTGGGCTCCTCTCCTTGGGAAGCGTTTTTGTGCCAACGGAACACGATTAAGTCATTGAGAGAAGGGTGTTAAGGGAAAATGTCGACCTTTTAGCCGCCTGACATCCAGCTCTTGTGTCATGAAACCCCCTCTCCACTTCCTTCTGCTGCTGCTGCGGCTGCTGCGGCTGCTGTGTGTGTGTGTGTGTGTGTGTGTGTGCGAGAGAGAGGGGGGGGGAGAAAAGGGGGGGCTCGCTGGCATGCCGCGTCTCCGGTCATTTCCTCCCTTGTTTAGAGAGCGCAGCCTGCCTTGGCAGCCCTCCCCCTCACTCCAAATGGCTTGCATCACGCTCCAGCAGCCTCCTCCTCCTCGCCCCCTCCCCGTCCTTTTCCCCCCACCACCACCACCACCACCAGGAGGGGGGGGCTGCAAGGAGGAGGCCAGCGTGGAGCTCTTCAGGGCTGCTTCCTCTGCAGAGCAGCAGACGGACAGGCGGACTGACAGCACGACAGCCGGGTTGGGCAGAGGAGGCTGCTGCCCACCCACCCACCCCACCCACCCGGCCCTCGTGCCCCCTCCTTGCCTCCCCCACTACGCCTCCCAGGTGCCTCTGCTCCAACCGGGCAGCGGGAGCCAGGGTTTGTGTGCAGAGGCTGGCACACCTCGGCTTCCGTGTGGGCAGAGGGTCCCGGTTCCAAGGGCAGTGAATTTGAAGGGGGGGCAATGGGGAGAGTGCCCCTTTCCCAACCAACCTGGGCTCACTGCCCTGCCCCTTTCCAAAGCCCGGCCCTGGGCTGGACAAGGGTGCACAGCCTCACTCCCTTCTCACTCCCTTGACCAGCACGAGGAGCTCAGCGCCGCAGCACCTGTGGATCTCCCGCTGGGTCAGGGCGCAGGGGGCTCCAGCTCCAGAGGGGAGCAGGGGGAGAGGAAGTGGAGCGAAGCCATAAATCTGGGTCTCTCTTCCCCCCCCCCAAGTCTGGTCGGGGCTGCTGGAGGGTTCTGGGGGGGCCGTGAAGAAGAGCGAGCGAAGTCCCTGTCGGCCCGCGTAATTGATGTCCGTTGGGGCTGGGGCGCTGCCAGCTTGTCTTGGCCGGGCTCCAGCGTGCTGTAATTTGGGAGCCAGGTGTGAAGCGACGTCTGTTCCTGTCTTGTTGTAAGGAGCATCTCCAGAGAGAGAGAGAGAGAGAGAGAGAGAAGCCGCCGCTGGGGGGGGGAAGGAGGGAGGGAGGGGGGCCCCGAAGCCTCCAGGAAGGAAGCAGCTGTGCAGGTAGGGGGGGAAGGAAGTCGCTCCTGGCTGGGGATGGGAACCCGCCGCGTCTCTCCTGCACAGGTGTGCTGACGACGCCAGGCGGCCTTCCTGCCAGGGGGCGCCCCAGCAGGGCCAGCACCTGCACAAGGAGGGGGGAGCGTCTCCTGCACTCGGGGGGACAAGGGGGCCCTCCCCAGAGGAGAAGGGGCACGGCCCCCTCGCTCCAGGGAGAGCCCAGGTGCCTGGCTGCCAGGTCAGAGGGGTCCCCGGCTCCGACCAGCCTCTGGTAGAGGGGCCTGCCCCCCTGCAGGCCCCCTCTGGAGGGGGACCCCGCCTCCCCCCTCCCTCCTGCATTAAGGGCCTGTCCTGGAGGAGGAGGAGGGGGGGCTCGCTTGCTCTTTGGGGCCGGCCCTGCAGATCCACGCAGGCTTTGGTGGAAGCGATCCATGTGGCCCCACTCCGGGCAGGCAAGAAGGGGTCTGGTGTGGGGAGAGCGAACGATGTGGGGAGGAAAGGGCAGCCCACCTCCGGCTTCTGCAGGGACCCCTGCAGTGCTTGCATAGACCCCCAGCCCCTCTGATGCACCCCCCTTAATCTAGCACTGGGTGTCTCCGCTCGTCTCCTGAACGCAAGCGGGAAAAATCCTTAGCTAACCAGACCAAGCTCTGGATTTGGACCGACAAAGGCCCACCCCTCGGTTCTCCCTCCCCCCCCCCCCCCAGAAGTCTTCAGCTGTGATCCCCAAAGGAGGAGGACCTCAGGCGGAAAGGGCTGCCTCCTCCCCCCCCCCAAGCAGGAACATTCGGTTCTCCTTGGTCCGTTTCTTTGGTGGCTCCTGGGTCCCTTTCCTCTCGGTAGACGCTCTCTGGTCCCTTCAAGTATCGGGGTCCCCCCGTCTCACCCCAACGCCCTCGTGAGACACACACACACACACACACACACCCCTTGTGCGTGCAGGGTGCCTTTTTGGCAATGTGCGCAGCGGCCGTCTCAGCCGAACGTAGGAAGTGGACGTGTGGCTGGCCTGCAGTGCCCTTTCGGTTGCTCAAGCCACCCAGCGGAGAATGTGGCCGTCCCGTAAAAGGAAGGAGGCCATTAAGGACGGTGGGCACACGGGGGTGGAAGGCGGAGAATCTTCACAGCTCAGGGTGGAAATGGGGGGGGGGGAGCTTGGTAGAGCAGTTGGGTCATGAAACGTCCGCAAGGGACCCTCAGCTGGGCTGTTTTCTTGCAGACGTCTCACGACCCAACTAGGGAACATCATCAGTGCTAGCTTATCCCTGGAACTTCTGAGGTTACCTAGTTTGGGCAATGAAACGTCTCCTCCTCCTCCCCCCACACACCCCTCCCTTCTCACATGGATGACGTTCCCTAGTTGGGTCATGAAACGTCTGCAAGAAAACCAAGCTCAGAGAGCACCAAGGACCCCACAATTCTCCTCCTCCTCCTCCTCCTCCTCCTCCCAAACCCCCTCCCTTCTAGCACTGATGATGTTCCCTAGTTGGGTAAAGAAACATCTGCAAGAAAGCCACCCAGCTCAGAGATCACCCAGGACCCCCACAGCCCTCCTCCTCTTCTGCTTCCTCCACCCCCCCCTCCCTTCTAGCTCAGAGGGCACCCAGGACCCCTCAAGTCCTCTTTCCCACTCCTGGGGGGCCTTTTGACTCCCCAGC